CCACTAACAAACCAACAATAGGTGGCCTTGTGATACCTTTCATAAAACGTAAATATTCCAGTATTCTAACCTGAACACAAACTAAACGGCAATCTTAGTCGTAGTCCTAGCCCTCCCTAAACCTTGCAGTTAACACGAGCCCAAGCCTTAATATAATCCTGACCCCAAACCCTTAAGCTCGAGCTCAAACCCAACTTCCCTCGAATTTGACACAGAGGCACATGTTTTGTGGGCGACCGGTGTTCTGTTTAGATGGCCATACAAGCTATCCTTACGTTAATTAATGCGATTTTGAAAAAAATCTGACCACAACACCATCAGCGCCGAAACGCAATGCGTTCAACTCGATATCCTTTATGTCAAACCTAGGTACTATCCCAAGTTTTTTTTTCGGAGTAAAAGCTCAAGACGCTGCTTGGAGAGGCGACTACATCATAATCCAATATCAAAAACAAGAGAAAAGGACAAAGCAAGTGTCACTCTGATTAGCTTTACATCTTCTGAAGCATGTTTCCGCACAAATGCAAAGTAGTCAAAAATGATATTCGTATAACCACAGTGAATAAAGCAAGAAAGGATTTGAATGTCAGTTCGCCGACAGTCTTTCAAGAGTCCAGGCTAGACGCGGACGTAGTCCCTGTGGCTGACGAGTTCCTCGACTTTGACAGTCTAGAAATCATAAAAGAGGAAAAATTACGAAGGCGTAAAGTATAAAATTAGGTGCGATAATATGCCTACGTCCTTAATCACGAGTCTGAGTCATTGAGAAGACATTAGACCAGTCAATTAAACGCCACCCCTGACTTATGGAATCGGCAATTGGTAGGGAATGTTTATATGAGCCTTGGGAACAAGAACTTTCCTGATATAGGCGTGGTCTTATCGTCAAATTTCAGGGGAAATTAGGGTCAGATTTAGGACATGGGCATATTCACCCCTCCTGCAATGGAGCGCAGGAAATGAAATGAAGGGTAAGGGTGGCTTTTGTATTTCTGTCTCCTGTCAGAGTGGCAGTTATGAAAGCAATTCCGGCCTGGTCTGTGCAATAATTGCCCAAAACTACGCAAGTTACTCAAACAATAAACATCAGGGTAAGGTTTCAACCTCTATTGTATGCTCTGATAGTGCGGGATAGATAATTTTTGAAGATAACATAAGAAAGTGAACTTACAGTTTTGAGCATATTTTCCTCAATCTTGCGGGTGATATAGGTGGTTTTATCGCCAACTTGCACCTGATTCATGATATCACCGTCCATAGTGATGGTAGATTCCACAGTACGGCCGTCTGGAGTCACTTCCTTGAATGGC